GAGGCAGGCGGATCTCTGTGAGTTCGAGGCCAGCCTGGGCTACCAAGTGAGTTCCAGGAAAGGCGCAAAGCTACACAGAGAAACCCTGTCTAAAAAAAAAAAAAAAAAAACAAAACTAAAGACTTTCAGAACTCTCTCAGAAGGACAAAAATTAGAATCACCTGAAGATATTAATATGGGAACCACCTGTGATTCACTCTAAGGGAAAATAACAAACCTTAAGACAGCAAAACCTCTCTAATTTCTGTCTTTCAAGCTTTCAAAATCCTCCCTGCAATACAGGAGGCAGGGATGGAGTTCCTAAAACCTCTCTTCTAAGCTCTGTTTCTTCAAGCTAGTAGAAGACAGTGGGTCAGAGTACCCTGAGGGAAACACTTGAGAGTGCAGGTAAAGAGCTACAGAGAGCCCAAAAGGGCAGGAAACTTTACCTGAAAAAAGCAAAAAAGCCAAGCTTTTCAGTTACAGCCCAGCTGAGGCATCAGTAGTTTTGTTTCTGAGTGAGCATTTCAGAATAAAAAGGTGCTCCTAATCATCCTAAAGCAAAGATCCCCTGAAGCAATGCAAACTGTTAGCATGGTATCCTCCCTTCTGACCAAAAACCCAGAGGCAACTGGTCAGCATCTCTGAGTTGGAGTGCATTTCAGGGAAACTAGGGTTCCTGCAGTTGTAAACTTCCTGGAGCAGAGCTGAGGCAGGAAGGTGCAGGACCCAGGGGAAGATTGCTAATGAACAAACCTAAAGCCTGTGGGAATGGCACAGTTGTCCACTTTCCTACAAGTCCTGGGTTGATAGGTCCACAGCTGCAAAAAGAAATCTGAGAAAAGCTTTCCTATCAGAGTAAGGACCTTTCTGGGAAAACAGTAAAGCTGAACTGTGTCTGAAGCAGTTGTGCTGCCGAGTCAGCAACACTGTCTGGGGAAAGAGCCCAGCCAGGGCAGGACAGAATTATCCAGGGGTAAAGCTTTCTTTTCTGTCAGAAAAAGCATCTCTTTGAGAAAAGCTTTGTTTCAACTGAATCCCAGTGAGATGAGGGAATATAGCCCTGAGGGGTGATTGCCTCTGACATAAGCTCTTCCCTTGAGTACCCAGACAAACACAACCCACTGGGGGACTGGGCCAGGTGAAGGCATGATGAGGCAAAGCACCTGTCCTAATGGGAGCTTAGAGATGGCAAAACCCTCCCCTGTTAGAAAAGCAGAAGCTTGATTTATGAACACAAACTCCACAGACCCCAAAAACAGAAACAGACAAAAAGCCCCTACCTTCAGTAACAGGAAAAACCACCACTTTAGTGTCAAAAACTGTTTCTGGGGCAGAGGGTATAAACTGAGACCAAACTGGGAACCGACTCTCTGAAGAAACGGAAAAGGGACAGATTCCTCCCCAGAAAATGCATGACCTGCTAGAGTTTGAGGCAGATTTGGGTTGGGGGGGGTTGCTACCTCCAAAGGCAGCTAGCAGAGGAACAGAGCAGCCTGAGATAGCTGAAGCTCTGCATCTGGGGGGAAAGGGAGAAGCAAAATGAGAATAAAATCAGTGGGAGAAAATCTCTCTGAAGGAGCTATGAAGAAGCTCTGTTGTAAATGCTTTTGTTTTCCACTGAGTGGCTAAGGTTAACACAAGCCCCCAGGAAAGTTGTGTGGAACTAAGGAGCATGGAACTAAAGAAGATCAGCTCCAATGCTGTTCCTATAAAGGAACCAGAATGAAAGTGGCCCGATTAGTGTTTCTGAGGTTTTGTCACTGGTTAATGCAAACAGTGAGGAAATAAGGGTTTGGAGCTGTGCTGCCTTTGGCTTTACTAACTCCTTTAGAAAAATACTTTATATCACCTAATAGCTGTGTAGTTTTGGAGAAGAGCTTTACAGCATTAAATATGGTAATTTCACCGTCAGCGTGAAGTTTTCCTTAGAGCAAACCAAAAGTGCTGCTGTAATAGAAACATTTGTCTTCAGAAGCACTTAGGGGAGCTATTATGAATGGTGAAGGGACAGCCTCCAGTTAAAAACCGTTTACTGCTGATAGTGCATCTCTGCTGGTTCTGGATCTTGAGAGAACTTAGCAGCTTTGGGGTGTGGCTTCATCCTGAGAATGTTACAGTTCCCTAGCAACAAGTATCACAACTCTATAAAGACAACATTCACTATATCCCAGTGTTGTATAGCAAAGCTGACTATAAACTCTAAACTTTAGAAATGATGTACGTACTTCCTGTCTAGTTAAGAGAATCTTTCTAATAGAGATAATGATAATTAAGAGTAAGAAGTAGAAAAAGATGAAAATAAGATGTGAGTTTGTAGAAATTCTGTCTTGTTAGATCTGTGTTAAGAAATCTTTAGGTGTTTGCTAAGATTAAATATATGCTAATGGTAGCCTATATAAGTTTGTAAAATAGACCTATAGAGTTCCTTTAAGAATATAAGCTTGTAAGAAGTATCTAAGGTAGTCTTAAGACATGTAGTAATAAGCTTGTCAGAAGTGAAGATGCTAGTTGTAAATGTAAGTTTAAATAACAAATAAGATAAGAAGTATATAAGAAGTAATAAGAAATATATTTGCTAAAGTAGTTCTATAGTTTCCTTAAAGAGTATAAATAAGTAGATGTTAATATGTTATATGTGAGTTTGTAAAAAATGTGTAAATGTTGAGTGTGAATTTATGCTTAAGCACGTTACATGTGAGTTTGTGTAAGTGTAAATATTGAGTGTGAATCTATGCTTAATGTATATGGTAAAAGAATCTGAGACACAGAAGATAGTGTCCTAGTAGACTGCAAAAATGGGCAGTCTGAATGGTTTCAAAAGCTCCAGAAGCCGCTAAGAAGCTAAGAATGGTGGACGCCAGAACGAGCACAAGGCATCCGCAGCTGAGATCCGTGGAAAATCGAAGCAACACAGAAAAACCTGAGCTAACATCAAAAACGGTGCAGTTTAAAATATTACTACTATACTAAAAAGGTCTCTGGCTTGAGAAAAAAAGAGATGCTTGTTTGAACTAAAATTGTTAACTGCAAAAAGTTTTGGCTGTAAAACTTCTCTTCATATTTGGAAGTGAAAGCCTGATATCAGAATTTACTTTTTGGAACGTTTTAAAATGAGATATAATTACAAAATATTTTGGTCATGGATTTCTCATATTTGGAAGGCTAGTACCACAATTTATCATTTGAATTTTGGGACTTAATGAAGTGAACAATAGATTTCATTGCAATGGGACAATTTTGAGTTTACTTATAGTAATGACCTAGGAACTGTTTTCTGGAATTGGGTTAAAAATGGAACTGTTTCAATGAAGAAATTTATTGTTTCTACCTTGACTCAAGATGCAGTTTTGTGTATGCATATATGCTGGTGATTCATGTATTGTTCTATGTTAAAAATGCAATTGTTTTGTGGAACAGTTTAGCATAAAAATTGAATTACTTATGGAACTGGTTTTGTGTTACAAATGGAACTGTTTAAACGGAAAAGTTTGGATTTTCTAATTAGGCTTGAGACTTTGCTTAAAAAATTATAAAGACAAGAGAGAGTTAATATTTCTTAGTCTATTTAATTAAAAATATTTTTTTGTTATTTGAGTGGATTAATGTTATGTTTTGTTAGTAACAAATGCAAATGGGTATTCAAAAATTTAAAGTGTGAAGAGTTTTATTATAAAACTTCTTTTGGATGTTTTGCTAAAGTTTTCAAAGTGTATTAATGGTTAGATTGAGAATATTGCTTTTCAATATGGGTTTGTAGGAATTGTATAAGTTTGGGTTCCTCTAACTAGGTTTGGGATTTTGTTTAAAACATTATAAAAAAAAAAAAAAGGAGGAGTTATGAGGTTGAATTATGTTTGCAGAAATTATGTTTAACCTATTGATATTAATGTACCCTGGTTTTGTGGAGTTAAGGAAATATTTAAGTTTGATGTGAATACATCGAAGTTTTTCCTATGTTCTGTTAGCAAGAAAATTCAAATGATTAAGTGTTCAAGTTGTAAGACGGAGAAAATTGTAAACTATATATAGCACCATATATGCTAATTCAAATGGTTCTGTTAAGAGTTTGCTTTGTGTTGTAAGATTGGGAGAATTGTGACTATGTATAGCAATATTTATGTTAACCTGTTAATGGTAATGATGAAGCTAAGGGATTCTTTAAGTTTGTAGTCGCCTTAAGAGTTTTTGGGCCAGCACCGCGGCTTGGCTCAAAGTTTGCGCCGCCCTTGCGCCACGTGCCCGATGGATGGGTGATCGACTGCGGCGGCGGCGGCGGCGGCAGGGTGAGCAATGGCCATATTTGCCGTCGCGGCCCGAGCCAGCGGCAACAAAAAGTGCGCGGGCTCCCGTTGGGCGCTTGGACGGGCGCAGGGATGTGTGGCCGCCCGGGCCGGGCCTCCTGGGCTCCGGCCTCCGCTTCTTCGGCGCCGCCGCCGCCAAGGTAAGCAAGCCATCGCACTCGCGGCCTGGCCGGAGCGGCTCGGCTTGGCCGGGCCCGCCCAGGCGTGCCTGCCGCCCGCGGGGATGTCGTTCAAGCCGAACTTGACCGCGCACATGCCTGCCGCCGCCACCGCCACCGCGCTCAACGCCGGAAGCGTCCACTCGCCTTCTATGAGCATGGCGACATCCTCCCAGTCCTGCCAGCTGCTGAGTGACTATGGGCCGCCATCACTAGGCTACACCCAGGGAACTGGAAATAGCCAGGTGCCTCAGAGTAAATATGCAGAGCTGCTGACCATCATTGAGGAGCTGGGGAAAGAGATCAGACCCACGTATGCGGGGAGCAAGAGCGCCATGGAGAGACTAAAACGAGGCATCATTCATGCTCTAAGCCTGGTTCTGGAGTGCTTGGCTGAAATGGAATGGAATGCCAGGTCCTAGCCCCTGGCCAATGTGAAGGCCCATCTCGCCACCCCATGGAGATGAGAGGCTTTGTTCAAGATGGCAGTAGCTTTCCTGCCTTGGTCCTTAAGCTCTGAACCCACATTCAGAAGATTGGAAGACATTTGCAGTTACTGATGATGTGCATTTTAAGTAGTTAGGAACGATCCAGCTCTTTTTTTTCCCAAGCATTGATTTGAAAGATGTTTGTGAAGCCACTCACAGCAAGCTATTGTTTGCCCCCAAATACCAGTGTCCCCTTTAATCTCCCTTCATTTGCCATTTGTGTCACCCCAGTTGACTTTCTGTCCATGTGCTCACCAGCCTCTGGGGACTCCAGTGCAAACCACCCTGTGTTTGCTTAGTAGCTGGCCGGCCTGTGTGCAGTGTAGACCCTGCTCCACGAGCTTCTCTGCTTACGCGTTTGCATGACTGAGTGCTTTGAAGTCAGTCTCAAAAGTGCGCAAGTTATAAACACAGAAGAAAGAGCAATCTACCCAGCCTACCAAGCGCCCTGCAAATGTCCATCTTGAGACTGTAGATCTCAGTTCCGTGTTTACTGTGAGACGATCACAACATCCGGGAGAAGACGACTGAAACTTGCATCTTTGTATTTTTTACTTGATGTAATAAAGCTTATTTTCATTAACAAAAAAAAGAGGTTTTGGTTTAGAAAGGGCTTGAGGCAGCTAAGACTGCTGTAGTCACCTTGGACCTAATACAAAAAAGAAATGCCATCTATATCATCCTCTACTCCCACACTGGGAGGTGTAACAGCTATGGAGATTGCTGTAAGCCATTAATAATTAGTTGTTTTTTTATATATTAAGAAAGGGGGGCTGGTGAATCTATTCTTAATGTATATGGTGAAAGAACCCAAGACACAGAAGGTTAGTGTCCCAGTAGACTGCAAAGCAGGCAGTCTGAATGGTTTCAAATGCTCCAGAAGCCACTAAGAAGCTAAGAATGGCGGATGCCAGAACCAGCACAACAAGGCATTCACAGCTGAGATCCGTGGAAAATCGACGCAACACAGAAAAACCTGAGCTAACATCAAAAATGGTGCGGTTTAGAATACTACTGTACCTAAAAAGGTCTCTGGCTTGAGAATAAAAGTTCAGAGATGCTTGTTTGAACAAAAATTATTAACTGCAAAAAGTTTTGGTTGAAAAACGTCCTTTCATATTTGGAAGTGAAAGCCTGATACCAGAAGTTTTCTTGTTTGAACTTTTTGAACTTAAAATGAGATAAAATTACAAAAAGATTTTGGTTATGGATTTCTCATATTTGGAAGGCTAGTACCAGAATTTATCATTTGAATTTTAAGACTTAAATGAAATAAACAATAGAGATTTCATTGTAATGGGACAGTTTTGAGTAATGACCTAGGAACAGTTTTCTGGACTTGGGTTAAAAATGGAATTGTTTAAATTAAGAAATGTATTTCTACTTAGAATCAAGATGCAATTTTGTGTAGCATATATGCTTTATTAACCGGTGACCTATGAATTGTTTTGTGGAACTGTTTATGTAAAAATGGAATTACTTATGGAACTGGTTTTGTGTTACAAATGGAACTGTTTAAACAGAAAAGTTTGAGTTTTCTAACTAGTCTTGAGATTTTTGCTTAAAATTATAAAGAAAAGGGAGAGTTAATATTCCTTAGTCTATTTAATTTAAATTGTTGTTTGAGTGGATTAATGTCATGTTTTTTTAGTAACAAATGCAAATGGGGTATACTAAGAGACTACTTTTAAAGTGTGTAAAGAGTTTTATTAAGAAACTGCTTTTGGATGTTTTACTAAAAGTTTTCAAAGTGTTAATGGTTAGATGAAAATATTGTTTTTCAATATGGGTTTGTAGGAATTGTATAAGTTTGGGTTCCTTAACAAGGTTTGAGATTTGTTTAAAAAATTATAAAGAGGTGATGGGGCCAGCAAGGGGAGCGGTACAAACAAGGGGAGCGTGGCGGCAGCAGGGTGGCAGCGGGACAGGGATAGCAGCAGGATGAGAGCAGCCTAACGGGGCTGTGCGATTGAGGGGAGCGGTGCGATCCGGGTGGCAGCGGGACTAGGGTGGCAGCCAGACAAGGGCAGCCAAGTGGGGCGTGGCTGTGCGGGGCGGCGGCAGGGCGAGCTAGGAAAGCGGTGCAAGCGGGGCTGCAGCGGGGTGGGGATAGCGGCCAGACGAGCAGAGCAGATCCGGGGTCCCCGAAAGACCCGCGTGGAATCAGGACTGGCGGGGGCGAGCCGGGCTGAGAGCCAGGGAGAGGAGCGGCTGCCAGGGGAGATTGAAGAAGGCAGCTGGGTGAGCTTGAAGGAAGCCGGGCAAGTGCAGCCCAGCCGGACATAGCTCGGTGGGACGGAGCGGGGGGGAGCAGGGGGGGCAGCCAAGGGACATCAAGGGGGCGGCAGCGGGGCCAGCAAGTAGTGTGAGCGTCGCAGTTGAGCATACTACGCGAAGCAGGCTTAGAAAAGAGCGCTGTGGCTGGGGGCCAGAAGCGGTTTCTGAGCCAGGCATCCAGCCCAGAGGCGAACGGGTTAAGGGAGGGGGCGGGGTGCGATGAGTCACCTTAAGGGGTGCGGCCGGGTTTTGCCAATTGGCGCGCTGCAGCGAGAGCAAGGCTGGGCTACGTCACCCGCAGCTTAAATAGCAGGTCAGGTCCCCGGGTGCCCATGCAGCTGCGGCGGACCTGAGCGGTGGCAGCGGTGTGGCAGCAAGAAAAGCTCAGCCGCGCGAGGGGAGCTGGGTGAGTGAGGGGAGTGGGGTGGCAGAGGGACAAGCCTGGCTGAGCTGGTAGGTGCCAAGCCCAGAGCCTGAGCATGGCCATGTGGGGCAGCAGAGGGGAGAGCGCGGCCGAGCTGCCTGGAGCAATGCAGAACAGTGAGTCTTCCAGGAGGCCAAGGAGGCAGAACTCAGGCAGCCTGATGAGCGGGGAGACAGCGAGGCCAGATGGGCCAGGAGCGGGGCCGCAGCGGTTAGAGCGGGACCAGCTAGGCAAGCCAGGCGGGAGCAAGGCAAGTGGGCCAGGGAGGGAGCTGGCGAGTAGGGGAGCAAGTCCAGTGGGCCTGGGAGCCAGTGATCAAAGGGGAAACCACCCGAGACCAGAGCCCCAGCCCCCACCCTTCTACTTTCATGGTCGCAGGCTGCTTGCATCTAAGCTTGACAGAAATTACAGGGTGCAGAGAGGGAGGACCAGAGCTGCACGGGCCCTAAGGGACTCCAGGAGAGATATAGGAAAAGATGGGAACTAGGAACCCGCCAGGCTGGAGCACAGAAAGGTCTGAATTCACAGCCTAAGTGCCCAGGTTTTGCTAATCCCTCCACAGGGTCCTCTGCGGGGCTGTACTGAGGACTCTGATTCTCTTTACAGCCCCGGTCACACCTGTTGGTAGCCAGGATTCAGGAAGGAACGATGGCAAAGGCCAGTGCCCCCATGTGCAATGGTTCCCGAAATCTGAACCTTTTGGTACTACTGAGCTGTCTGGAGTTCATGCTGCCCACTGGTAAGTTCTGGCATTTAATTGGGGGAGGAGGGAACTGAACTACTGGTCAGGAGGTCACAGTCTCCTCACAAGAAGCTCCTGAGCTTCTCTGCACTGTCACCAGGATTTAAGTCCAGACGCCCTGGTCCTCACCATGCCCCTCCCTGATTCTCTTCAGTGGATTCACAAAGTTAGGGGGAAAGTCACTGCGGGAGGTCCGGGAACAGGCTACAGGAATAAGGAGGGCAGGGTAGCAGAGGGGGTAGCTAGTGACCCCCTTGGCATCACTGGGATCAGCTGAAGTCTAAACCCAGTCACCAGTGTGGGCCCCTCCAGGAGGAGGTCTCAGACAGCTCCCCCCTGGACCTAAGGCATGCTGTGCTCTGAAGACTGCCTCCCTGGGGATTCCTCACAAGCTCTCCACCATTAGATCACAATAGACACTTCCAGGTACAAGGCAGCCACAACCATGGACATTCCTACTCCCCCGGTTTTTTCTTTATATTCTTCTTCCTGTTCTTGTTCGTTTGTTTTAAGGCAGGATTTCATACTGCAGCACACACTGTAAAATCTGTAACAGTCCCTTCTCTCCCTTGGGCTTCCAAGCTCTGGGATTAGATTTGTTGCTGGTTGGTTTTGCCCTTTTGGGGGCTCACCAAATAATCCCCTACCAAATAAATCATACATGGAGGCTCATTCTTAATTATACATGCCTGGCCTCAGCTTGGCTTCTTTCTTACCACCTTTTCTGTATTTAAATTATCTCATCGATCTTATGCCTCTGGACTTTTTCCTTTTCTGACTTCTGTGTATCTTACTTTCACTCTTACTCTGTGGCTGGCTGTGTAGCTGAGTGGGCTAGCCCTTGGCATCCTCTTCTCCTTGTTCTCTTGCTCTTTCTTCTTCTCATTTTCCAACTCTCTTTTTCTTCTTCCTTCTTCCCAAATTTCTCTCTTTATTCTCTCTCCCTGCCAGCCCCACCTATCCTTTCTCCTGCCTTGCTATTGGCTGTTCAGTTCTTTATTAGACCATCAGGTGTTTTAGACAGGCACAGTAACACAGCTTCACAGAGTTAAACAAATGCAACATGAACAAAAGTAACACACCTTAAAATAATATTCTACAACACAGATTTGTCCCACCAAGCTCAGCTTCAATTCCCACGTGACTTACCAGCCTGGTCAGCTCCCTTCCCTGCCCACCTAGCCTTCCCTACTTTCCCATCCATAAAGTGCAGTCAGTGTGACAGATACAGAAGGAACAAGCTGGTGAATGGGACAGCAGATTTGCCCTCTGTCCATTAGGGGATTAGGATATATCCCATGTACCAGTCTTGGTGCCCATCCCCTCAGAGTGTCTTCAAAAGTACAGCCAAAGCTGCCTGTTTCCCGGTCAGCAGTGGGTTCTGTGCTGCCTGTGACTTCTGGGTCAGCTGGAAATGACAGGAGGAGATCCTGGCTTTAGGGCATCTTGATCTCTCCACTGCTGTCCAGTGGATTCCTTGGATCCCATGGCCATCGAGGACACTCCTGGAAGCCTGAGGAGCTTGCTGAGGGAGAGGTGGCAGCTTACTTGAGAACTAACCTCAGTCACCTCCTCTAGATGAGGTAAGATCTCCACAACCATCTGGGGAACAGGAGATGTTCTCTCAGACAAGAGTCCTTGTCTTTCCCTGCTAGGCAGCTCTCAACACACAAGTGACTCTTGTGTCCCTGCAGCGATGTCTCACTTCTGGACATCTTGTCTGACCATGACCTGTCCTCCTAATCACCTACTGGGAAAGAGCTCACCTCATGATGTCTGCCTGAGGCCTGATGGAGCTTCTCATAGCCCAGCATCACAGGCCACTC